AAGGAGAAGAAGCTTCCAGCCTCTTTCCATCTTTCAAACTTTTGTCAGACTCTGGCTGAGGCTGTCTCTCATCTTCTTTCTCTTTAGAAATCTGTATCATCTTTACTTCTTTATTATCATTTTGGTGAGTCTAAGAGCAAATGGAGATAAGCAGGTGTGTTGACATCTGCCATGTTTAGCTGTTCATATTTACATTAAATGAAAGCTAGCCAGGCTGGATCACCTAATCCCAGCACTCCAGAGGCTGTCTCAAAGTGAACAATAAAAATGGAGTTAATGTGTTCCAGCCCTTCCAAAAGTAACTAAGTCAAGAGGTTTTAGAGCAATGATTACCTGACACTACTAAATTCTTCTGACCTCGGCTCCTACTTGGATTCTGTTGGGATATTTGTTTCAGACATGTGCATATTTTACCTCAAGACTGAGGTGTACAAACAAAGAGGAGGGAAGTGTAACCATCTTGACAGGAATGAAGATATCCTGAAGAGATACTGTGCCCTTCCCTTTGGCTATCAGGCTATTAAAACAATGGTTCTCAAGAAATTAGAATTTCCCCAGGATGCTGGAGAAAGAAAAGGCTAGGCTTGGTTCTGGCCAGAGAAGAAACTTGTCTCTGGAAAAGACATTTCATGTGGTTCTGACAACCCATCAGACTACCTTGCTATAGAGAATGGAGCTGAGACAGAGGTGATGAGCTGGACCACACCTTGACTGAACTGCTTAGTTACACATACCTCTTGCCTTCTTTTTAATCTGAACCTCATATTAGAACATAGACATGGACTTGGTCCCTAAACCTCTGTTTCTCTTCCCAGTGTGGCCACATCTAATAAACCTTCCTTTTCTGCTTTTTGCTGTTATCTCATCTCTTACACTGGCCTATTGGAGATGAGCAGCCAAGCCTAGGTTGTTAGGGCTGCCAAGGTCCAAGCTCTGACCAACCTCAAGTCACCAGGGATCCTGGGTCCTGGAGACATGATCTTTCATGGTCTTCTGAACTCCGTCTTACCTGTCCAGGTTTCTTTACCTCTACCCATGGTTCCCATCCATGGGCTGTGGAACCTGATAGCTCTTTTATTCCTCTTCCTAACTCACTTTCTAGCCTTTCCTAACAGGCTGTCTCTTCTGCCACTACAGACCCAATATGAGAGGCTACTATCTGATTATGAGACCACAATTTGGCTAGGCAATTTCAACACCATTTTAAAAATCAATACTGCATTCTAATATGGCAGGGGGAAGAAGTGTAGTCCTGTCTCTTAAAAGGTGGAGGTGATGAGACTGGAGAAATGGCTCAGCAGTTAAGGGCACCAGTTGCTTTTTCAGAGGACCCAGCATCCTCGTGGCAGCTAACAACCATCTATAACTCCAGTTCCAGGGGATACAATGCCTTCTTCTGACCTCCTCAGGCATTGCACAACACGGGCACAGCTACCTACATTCAGGCAATACACTCATACACATAAAATAAAAAAAATAAACAAATTTTTTTTTTTTAAGTAAAGGAGGAAAGCATCAGTGTACCCATTCGGGGGGAGGGTTAAACCAATTTTGGCATTTTTCAGCCACTCAAATTATCCTAGAAATCACTCCAATCTCCTCTCCCCGCCCCATTCCTTTGTTCTTATGCTCGCTCCTGATATTTCCTCTTCTCTTCCCTTCACTGCTGTCAGTTTTCTTTTCTTTTCCTGTCTGTACCTGACACTGCCCTATCTCATTGCTGTCTAGTACATGGGACCGATTCTTTCCTGAGTCTATAGATATGACAAAGCAACTTTCTAGCACAGGGTTCAGCTAAGCCAGTAACATTTAGGGAATCTCTTCACTCTTAACAACTTATATCTGGAGAGGTGAACCTCTATAAGGGAGAGGATTTCCCAGGCACACTGGAATTGGATCCAGGAAGGAAATTGCTTTCGATGTTATAAGAGTTCCTGTCCCAGAGTCTATGCTTTTTCTCCTTCTCAACACATTGATCAAGACACCTAACTGTTTGGGATTTTCTTCTTTCAGCCAGATCCTCTGGAGTAACTTGGATTGCAACTTGGCTAGTGGCCCTGGCTCCCATCATGCTCTGCAGCCTGCTTATCTGAGATGAGTTCTTGTAACTCAAGAATGAAACTTCAAGGCCAGAGGATTCTCTTTCATCACCAGCACTCCTCTTAACCAAGAACAAAGCTCTGGCTTCATAGGACGGTTGGAAGTGTGCTGCTGAACATCTATAAGGATTTGTACTTTCTTTCTATGCTGAGGTTAAACCCAAAGCCTTGTGCTTGCTAGGCAAGTGCTCTACCGCTGAGCTACACCCATAGCCCTTTATAACAATTTTCAAATAGGTTTTTAAAAGCTGGGGTCAATATTTCATTTTATATACCCTAATTATTTTCCCATATACATCAAAGATAAATGAATTCTTTTCACCAAAAACATGGCTACACTGTGCTAATGCTTTGGTTTTTTAAAGTTTTATTTATTTTTATTCATTTGGGGTCTTGCAAGGGTGTATCTCATGTATGCAAGGCAAGTACTTTACCATTGCCCAGGCCTGCAAATATTTTCTTACCCGTTTAAATAAACATTTCACATGATCATCAAAGCAGATTCTTGAAGTTTTTCCAAATGTGTCATAAGCACTTGTCTCATCAGCCTGGAGAGGAGACATGTGGCAAGAACCTGGGGTCACAGATGTCTGCCTGAGCATAGCTGAAAAGGTAAATTGTGTTACCGCTGGCTTTCATCCCAACATCCAAGCCGAGCGGTCCTGGCTCCTCCAAGATTCCTTCCCACACCAAGTTCTGGCTTCCTTCTCAAGTGTCTGACTAGAGACCCCCACTCTTTATGTCTCCTGTAAATATGAAGTAGGGCTTGTTTCCTGAGCACTGAGTGTGCAGTTTTGTCACAAGTCTTTGTCCCCTAACCTTCCATGAGGTCCGGAGTTCTCCATTCTCTTTCCATTGTCTCAAATAGTAGTTGTGTCACCGGATCCAATAAAGCCATCAAACTGACCTTTATCAGGGTCTATTATAAAAAGTCAGGAGTCCCTAGACTTACCCTTTTGTAATTCCTAGAATATTTTGCTTTATGTTCTCTCTTCTAAATCGCCTCATGGGCCTAGATTAGAAGTCACTAAAGGATACTCTCTTTCTTCAGAGACAGACCATTTTCTAAACCAAACCACTCTCCCCCACTGCTTGTTTCTGCTACAAAAGCCCCCCCTGCCCACATTTCTTGTGTGATAGCCAATGCTATATGTTCACTAAACTGTTTCATATTCTCTTTGGTCAACAGAAAAGCTCCTTTTCCCTTTGCATTTAGCTTCAGTCCATTCACGCTACTGATTCTTGTCAGTAGAAAATGTGGAATTGATGTAGCAGGATCTGAGGGAGTCTGGGAAGTGGAATAAGGTAATGCAAGGAGCTTGGGTTTGAGCCACTGAAGTTTGCAAAGCTATCTGATCTGCATTGTATCTGCATGACAAGAAAGTTTGGGTTTTGTCTGGCACCAGAAGGTGGCCTGAGCTTCCTAAGACACTCTTCTACTTCAGCCCAGCCTGTGGCCCCATTCCAACCTCAGATCTCCTCAGACTGCCTTCTCCGATTGGAATAGCTCAGCCTCCTTTCTGGGAGTAGCACCCTCCCCCTTCCCCTCACTTTTCTGGGTAGAAGAGGAGGAATGAAATAAAAGAGTATGCTTTGGGACAACAGTAAAGAGAAAGAAATGCCTGTTTATATCACACATGAGCATGCACCTCAGCTGTTGAGGCAGGTGCTTCTCTCTAGGGGTCACCTTTTAGTTTGGGTAACTTGGAAATCTGAGGCAAATCCCACCTTAGACTGCCCAGGTCACAGGTACCAGTTCTTCCCTGCCTCTCTCTTCTCTCAGTACAGAACCAGATACATCATTCTGATGCTCAGTATAAAAATGAAAATGTGATCCCCTTGTTCAAAGAGCAGAGAAAAAAATACCATTCAAAGTCCTAAAATACAAAATGTTTTCTTTTTGGGGCTGGAGAGATAGCTCAGCAGTTAAGAGAACTGACTGCTCTTGCAGAGGACCTGGGTTTGATTCCCAGCACCCACATGGCAGCTACGAACCATCCTTAACTCCAGTTCCAGGGGAATCCAATGCCCTCTTCTGACCTCCATGGCATTGTACAACATGGGTGCACTCACATACATGCAGGCAATACACTCATACACGTAAAATAAAAATAATAAATAAAATATTTTTAAAATGTTTTCTTCTGTAGTTTCTTTTTCTACTTTCGGTAATATTTTTACATTTGCTACATAATATTATCAGCAATAAAAACCTAAATTTAAAATCATTATCATGTATTTACTGTCTATATCATACAATGTCAGTTTTAAATGCAAATATAAGAGCATTTAGCTTGTATGTGAAGCCACTGAAATTACTGCATTCATATTCTGTAACACATGTGCATTTATATTTTATATTAATGGTGTAAATGCTACAAAAATGCTACATATCCCTTTACAATTGACAAAAGCCATTAGTTACTTTGACCTCACTTTGAGTCTCAATGAAGTCCCTTATACTGTAAGTCCACCAGAACAACATTCTCAGGTCAGGGGCTACCATGAACACCGGACAGTGTAAATAACAACAGTGACAGATGCACATATTTCATGTGTGTCTGTCTCGTGCTCCATTGTACCATTGACTTGAAAGCACAAGTTGAAAGATGAAATTATTGAGAATTTCCAGATGGTGGCAGCAGAGCACTAACTCAAGTTCCTCCAAACATTGGGCTCCATGTGACCTGCACACAGACCCCGTGCATGCCAAGGCAGGATTTGCCTTGTGAATGCCTAGTTAGCATTAACTGTCCACTTAGCATTAACCACAGTCTAGAATCACCTGGAAAAGAGTCTGGAAAAGAGTCTCAAGTGAGCACCTATCTTTATCTGGTTGGTTTGTGCGCAGTTTGTGAGGGATTTTACTTATTAATAATGGATATAGGAGGGCCTAGCCCACAGATGGGCAGTGCCATTCTTAGTGCAGGTGGTCCAGTTCCTGCCCTGACTTCCCTCAATGATTGACTGTGACATGCAAGATGAAACGAACTCTTTCCTGTCCTAAGTCGCCTTTGTTCAGAGTATTTTTATCACAGCAGAAGAGATGAAACTAGAATGAAAATTAAGACAGCTCCCTTCTTTGGAAGTTACTGAGCCCCTGTCCTCTTTTGTATTACTATGAACCAAAACTTAGTGGGAGGGAGTACATGGACCAGTAAGCTCCAGAGGCAAGGCTCATACACTGCCCCTGCCCTGGCCCCAGGACCCAGCCATGATCAAAGCCATCCTCATCTTCAATAACCACAGGAGCTCAGCTCTCCAAGTTCTACCAGGCTTACAGGTGAAGATACGCAGCATTAAGTCACCAGGGAAATTTTCCATGGGGAATTTAAGTGAGTTGAAAATGTAATTTCTTAGCAGGAGATTGTTAATTAGAGGGTCTGACAACAAACTGATTTATAGACATTATGCAACACTATGTTTTGTCTTCTATGTGGATTCCTCAGAAGGGGAACTTGGTATTTTGGATCAAATTAAAGTATTTGTGAAAACATTAAACAAATGTTTTGAAAATATCTGTGAACTGGATTTAATAGTCCATATAAATGAGGCTTATAGTCTTACAGAAGTGGTAATATGGGCAAGGAATAGAATTGGAGACCAACGTGAATGAGATTATTACACAAATTGATGCACAAAATAAACTGGAGAAATCCGAGGTTGACCTAGCAGGAGCTCCATGCATGCTGGGTCAGCTGTACAGAATATGACTCTTTCTGAAGAAGAGCTAAATAACACTAAGAATGTTTGGAAAAGCCATAGGGAAACATTGTAAGTGTACTGAAATATTGAAATATACCACACACACACACACACACACACACACACACACACACATGGTTTAAATGGAGTTATGCCATACAGGGGCTATAATGCTGCTCCCAAGAGGTGTAGACTATCTAGCAAAAACCCCAGTGCCAGGCAGGGGAAACGTCCCTTTGAGCTGTTGGTCAGACTAGTCTAAAAGACTCCCAAAACCATACAGGCTATTGCCATTGCCCTTGGTTGCCTCCCAGAACATGAAGATAAGACCTTATTGCTGAAGACACCACATCCTTCACACACAGGATTTGAAGGAATTGAGCTAGAACTCACTGGAAGCCTCCTCCCTGATGACTGGCTCTCATAGTGTCAGAAGGTACTTTGTAAGTTGCCAAAGGAGAAAGCAGTCAATAGTCCTACATAGATATAAAACCTATGCACCACAATTGCTGGCCTGGCTAGGTATTCTCAGTGGTGCAATAGTGGTAATTTTATGTTGGGGGTAACCGACAGCTATCTAGTTGAACTTAAGGCCTACTCAGTAATAGGGAATTCATGTCTGGTGCTGTAACCTAGCCAAATACCTGTGGTTGGAGATGTCATAGATCCTAGGGAGATCCTTGTACTGCCATTTCCTTAAACCAATATAATTTTTGACTGTATTCTAAATACTTATCCTCACACCCACAAGTGCCTATAGCTCTTACCACTCACCAAACAAAATTCTTTTGCAACAGATGGAAACTTTTATAGAGATACACAACTGGTCAAAATGCAGAGAAGTGACTGGGGAGATCCCAGCTTCAGTTGATACATTAGCAACGCAACCCCTACATCTAAGGCTCAGGGAACATCATGGAAGAAGTGGAATAAAGATTGTAAGAGCGAAAGGGCCTGGACACTTGCTACTAGATGGTGTCTTCTAGACACGATGGGGAAGCTGCACCCCTGAAATCTGAATATGGTTGCCCAAATAAGACCTGAATAATGACAACACTAGTTGACATGTCAATGTGGATAGTGGAATTTTACAAGGTTCTACTTCTAGAAGACCTACAGGCAATCAGTGGCTGCTGAGAGAGGGAGAGTCAGTTTTCTCCAGGGATGAGCTCTCTGATAGGTTAGGCAATCCCAAGTAGGCTCCCAAACACATGGACATGCAAGCGTCACTATATGGGTAGGAGATACATATTACATATATTTAAATAATTATATATAATTAAAGAAGAGGCCATGAAGTTGAAAGGGAGTTGGGGGAGGACATAGGAGGACTTGGAGGGGGAGAGGGAAGGGTAGAAATGTTGTAAATACAATACTCGTGTATGAAATTCTAAACGAGTTTTAAACTTTAGTTATAAAAAATGATTATGTGTCTCACTTCAAGATGAAGCCCTTCAGGTAATCAATGGATGCTGAGGGAGAATTGGAGATTAGTTCCCTGAAAGGTTATCTAACTCCCAGAGGTCAGCCCTAAACACATGTACACATAAGTACCAGTAAATGGACTCAGGGCATTTATATAAGATATATAAATGTATGTATGTATATATAACAATAATAAAGAAGAGATAAAACATTGTGAGGGAAGAGGAACGTGGGAGGAGTTTGAGGGGACTGGATGGGGTAGAAATGATGCAAATACAATATTCCCATATGAAATTCTCAAAAAATATTTTTTTAAAAAAACAATATGAAGCCAGGTATGGTGGTACACACCTTTA